ACGCGCGCTCGGCCACCACGCAGCCACCCAACCGAGGAGCTCCAGGCCTTCGGAGGAGAGACAGACACGTCTTTATTTAACTGAAAACGAGCGCTAGACAAAAACTTCAGAGAAAAATGCGTCGAGTATAAAAGAAACTGGTTTAGTCTACATTAATTACCTCATGATACGCAAACGTCAAACATTTCCATGCTACAACAACCGAAAGAGCTCGGCGGCCCTCACCGTGAGGGCGCGGCGCGAAGATTCGACGCCCTGCGGGGGGAACCACCGGGAATGAGGGCCCGTCGCCACATCCAGACACCTAAACCAGATGCGCTGGCGGGCGCTCCTCTCCGAAGCGCTAAATCCCCATCGAAAGCAGCTCAGATCGCACACGTCGGTCCCAAGGGCACTGTCGGCGTCGGTCAGCGTGACGCAGCACAGCCACCCTGCAGCTCGGTTGAGCCCAAATGCTATGTTTATTGAGGACTTCTAATATCGTGATACCTTGGTTCAGTAATTGGTGAAATTTCTAAATATCGTTAAATATATTTTTAAAAAAGCCTAACCAGACTCTGGACTAAACAAGATGAACGTTAAACTAAAATGTTAGAAGGGACACTGTTTACATTAACACTTTCTTTAAAAAATATAATTGCTTTTTCATTTTTTTTTTGTTTTTTTTAAGTCAATTAACCACAGTGGTGAGACGTGCTCTCTTTTTCAGCTGTTACAGTGCAGCGTGCGGAGTTTTACTTCCCAGATCACACCAGCCCCGCTGTAAACCGAACTGAAAGGGACAGTTTGCACCCGCGTGCAGAACGGTGCCGTCTCCCCGTCAACGTGGAAAAGAGTTGTGTCACCACTGTGCAATAGGGCAGCCAAAAACCAGGAGTCTCTTGGTCAATGCCAGTATGCGGTTGGAAAGCCTTCCGCGTTCTAATAGAAAAGTCCATAGGAAGCTGCGAACAGGATCAGCCCAGAGGAGTAAAACTCTTTATGTCCCTCCAAGTATCAGTCAATGTACTGCGATAGCCAACGGAAGCCTTCGCCGTAGCCTTGCCTCTTCAGCACGCTGCACATGAACACCTCCATGGGGCGCGCGTTCAGCTCCTTCAGTGGCACGTTTCCCTAGGGAAATCCAAAAAGAAGTCAGAACTGCATCCCTGCCACCCTCAGGGACGTGGCGACCGTGTCGCCACCATCTTAGGAAACCCAGGGAATTTCCCCTCGCTGCCGCACGCCAGAGGGACCTGCCCGCAGGGCTTTCGGAGCCGGCAGTGCGGGAGAATGGACGTTGAAAACACCGAAGCAAACCGTTTTCGAGGCACACAGTCTGAGGTACCTGTGATGCTTGGCAGCGCGATACAAGAAGCAATCGTCACCATGTGGGTAAGCTCGCGCCAAGAGTAATCTTGCCCTTTTTTTTACTACTGTCACCCAGCATTTTTGATCAATTCACCCTAACTGTACTCTTTTTAAATGATTAGATGGGTAACTAGACAGAAACGCAGAGTAACGAAACGCAAAGAGCCAATGTGTTAAAATACCAGCTCGATGCCTAATTCCCGACTTGTCACAGAGGTACTGTGTTTTGCACAATTCTGGCAGTCTCAAAACTTGCCCGACGGTGTTATTATTATTCAGTTCGGTCAACATTGAGGAGAAATTCACAGATAACACCTCAGTTAGTTTCTAGACAGAGCCCCATTCTGCAGTGAAACCCACCCGGCCTCCCTCCCTCGCCTGCAGACAATCCGAGGTCTGGATGCGTCCCTACCTTTCCCGTGGTCTGTCCGTAGAGCCCGAAGATCTCCCGTAGTTTCTCCTCGCTGATGGCCTCCGGTCTGTCGATTTTGTTACCCAAGATAAGGATTGGCACGTTGGATATTGTTTCGTCTGTCATTAGCGCCTGCGTGTGAAGATGGAAGAAGAGTTAAGCAGAGGCAGAAAAAACATTCATGGTTTGAAGAAAAACTTTTGTTTAAGCTCTGTGACCAACAAGGGCTGTTCTTTGGCACTACAGTACTCCTGCGGAAGAGGAATCTCTCTGGAAAGCTTTCTCAGAAAAAGGTCCTATCTGAACACACCAGCTGTTGCAAAACTTCTTCAAAGGCTGCTCAAGAGCCCACGGTCAACCCACAGTAAGGGCATCCAGGCTTCTCTAGCTCTGGGAGAGTATACGTATAAATCCATGCTGATCCAGTCCCTGCATAAAGTAACATGCAAATTACTGGAAGTACAGGCATTGCTGGGGTAAAAAGGTGCACTGGACGTGTGAGTCCAAAGCACGAGACTCTCAAAATGCGCTCTGCACAAGTTCCAGCCCAGAAAAGAAGATTATTTACAATTTAGCTATTCAGAGGTCTTGGGAAAGGAAAAAAAGAAGTATCTTTACGTTAAGTTCAACTTTGGATTCCATAAGACGCGAGTGATCCGCGCAGTCCACCAGGAAGACGATCCCATTGATGGCGGGCAGGTAGTTCTTCCAGACCCGGCGCGCTGGAACACAGAAGCGACAAACACTGTCCTGTGAAAACGCTACCTGAAGCAACGGGAAAACTACACCCAAAAAGGAGCCACTCTCTTCGTTAGAGTTTCCTCAAGGCAACAGAAAACCTTCAGTGAAGGGATGGGCCGAAGCCGCAAGCCAGGCAGTTTAGAGAGCCAGTGACACTCCCTCTGCTTTCCTAAGTAAGCCTCGTGTCTTTTTGTGTATTTAAAAAAAAAAAAAAAAGCCAGAAAAATTTTGCTTAGAACTTCTAGAAAGTTTAAAAATAAAAATTCAGCAATTATTCAAAAGAATAAGCCTATGATATTCAAGTCTTCCACGGCTAAAAATATTTCAAGGCAGCAGAGTATGAACTGGCAGCATTTTTTTCCACAATTCTGCCAGAATTAAGCAGAAGTATCGAACCACTGAAACAACCGGTAGCCTAGAGCCAGGAGGTTATTTGCACATACAGCTCCATAAGTAATGTCAGGCAACAAATAATTAGGTACTGCTAATTGCTATTACTTTTTCACTTTTTGGTAGAAGGCTGACCTCATTTGGTGCCTCCTGCTCAGCAACTTCACTTTTACCTTGTTCATGTCCACCCAGATCAAAAGTCGTAAAGGTCATTCCAGCAATCGTCAGCTCCTCTGATGCTGAAAAGTAAAAATACAGGCTGTGTTTCAAGAAAAAAAGGGAAGCTGTCACAGCCAGAATTTCTTGGGTGCTCATGTCAATGTCACAGACACTCCTCATATAAGATATCCTGTAGAATTTAAGAATTCCACGAATTTCCTATAGAATTCTGCCACTGAAACAAAGTCGTTTCACAAAACAGCGAGTGGGAGAAAATAATTTCTCCTACCTCCCCACTTAAAAGGGCGTGCTTATTAATCTGCAATTATTACACTTTATTATGCTTTTCATTAGAAACCCACTCCTTCCCCAGGAGAGGCACGTCACATTAACTGAACCACGCCAGTTCTCGGGCTCTCCGTTATATTATATTTGAGAGGAAAATGCAAATCCACTTCAGCTGGGGCAACCAATGTGCCGCTGCATCTTCAAACGCAGTTTTAAAGACTCTTAAAATCTGTTGCCCCAATGCGGAGCTGTCACCAAGGCACCTTATGACACCGTGACTCCAAAATTAAAGCGGAAAAACTGCACCACGAGGCAGGCGGGGCTCAGTCGCTGGCAGACTTACTGGGATGTAGTGTGGGGACATGCTGACCCAGCCTGTCATCTTTGAGCATGTGCAGCAGAGTGGTTTTGCCTGCGTTATCCAAGCCCAGGAACACAAGTTTTCCAGATTTCTTGTACAAACCTGGAAGGAAAACAAAAACAAGCAAGAAAAACTCCATTTCTGCTCTCGGCACGTAAGCAGAAACGCTGCAACGCTTGCTGCTGTTTATATACGAACCCCTCACCCACAGCTCGGCTGTCACCTGTATATTTACGGTATTTCCAGCATGGAAACACAACAGCAGGAGAAAAAAAAAGTACAGCTTGAACTGGCTTTTAACCAATGTCTACAACAACAGACATTTTCTAAGCTGGTATGTCTAGGAGTAACATATTCTTTTCTCGGATGTGTCCTAACAGAAGAGCATGCAGCAAAGTATTATTTATGTGCAACAGGTTACAGACCCAGCTGCTGCCCCAAAGGGGTCTTTAAATGTGAAAATGGAGTAAGATAGCAGCGAGCTGTTGAAGAAAAAGTGCACAGTGTGGAACAACACATCATTTTCTTTAGATACACTGATTTTTTTTCCACTGCCAGGTGCGCATCTGCCGTAGGCGAGTTCCCTTAGGTTTCCAAGAGGATTTTTTTCTCATCCCTCCCTACCCCTTGCAAGGCGTTCTGGGCCGAGGGCACGGCCTCCTCCAGCAAGGCCCTCCGCTGGAATTCACCGCTCTGGCAGGAGGCGCTTTGCCACCGCCGGCGCCTCAGGAAAGGGCTGCTCGCGCCGCGGTGAAGCGGCCAGCCCAGCTCGCGCAGGTCCTAGATTGGGCAACGTTTTGGTCAGCACCTGCGCAAAGGGCCTTCAAGCCGGGTCACCTCAGGCAGTGGCCAGCAGCTCCCCCCGAGGCACGCCACAGTGAGTAGTTTGGTGTAGGAAGCGATAATTTGAGGAGAAGGAAGTCAGGCAGCTGTGAGAAATAAGGGTGAGCTTTGGCAGAGCTGGTGAGCTCAGCTATGAGGAGGAGGAGGAGGAGGATGGGGTTCCCTGCCTCGCTAGGCAGCATGTCCACCCGCGGCCGGGCGCTGGGCTAAGCGGGCCCTTGGCATCAGCCCCGCTGCTCTCACGCTTCTAAACAGCAAGGGGAAGGTTGAGGGGGAGCCAACCTCCCCCCATATATTGAGAGTTTCTCCT